AAGCCTCCCCGGGTATGTGAGGGATATGTTCGTGAGAGTAGGTGTGTGCCGAGTTGGGTGTGGCTTTTATTAATTAACTTTCAGGTTTGAAATCTTATATTTTAATTCTTTGGAATAGCTGGGATGTGGCTCGGTGCAAGAGCACTTGACAAAGCCCTGGGTTCAATTCCTACCACCAATAAGTAAATAGAATTTGGGGGTTCAAGTGAGATAGCTTAGTGAGTAGGGGCACTTACTGCCAAGCATGGCAGGCAACCTGGGTTCAGTCCTTAGGACCTACATGGTGGAGGGAGAGCATACACACACACACACACACACACACACACACACAGAGGGCTTGCTGCTTGTGCCTGTGCACCTACATACACGCAACTTTGGAATCTGAGATCAGGGAAGGAAACCGTCTCTAACAACTTTGGAAAGCTGAGCTCCAGTAAACCATTTTCCAAAGCAGTGGAAGCATAAACGCTATACGGGTGTATGCCAGCACCCTTGCCGGTATGGTGCACTTTGGAATCAATGACTATGACGTGTACTGTAGGAAGAAATATGTAGAGGAATGTCATTCTTCTCCTGTGGTTATTTTTGCTTTTAGAATCCAGAGCTAGTCGCCCGGCTAGAGAAGATTAAGATACAGCTAGCCAATGAGGAATATAAGCGGATCACTCGCAATGTCACTTGTCAGGTAAGAGCCTACTGCTCGGTATATGACCTGCACCAGAGATGGCTACAGTTTTAAAAACAGCAGAAGCAGTGTAGTGATACACACTTTAATCTCAGGACTCATGATACAGGGCCAAGTGGGTCTCTGGGTTTGAGGCCAGCCAGAACTATATGATGAGACCCTGTCTCAGAGAAGAAAGAAAAGAAAAGAAAGGGAATTTCAACTCAGTTTATATACTCTTCTAGAACTATAAGACCCCTGTGTTCTGTAGGGACCAAGTATCATCTTCAGTGTGTTCACTGAGACCCTGGGCTTAGATGGTGACTGATTCTTAAATGCCATAGAAACGGCAATGAGCCTTGGAGGGTTTCTCTTTATTCAAGGTAGGGTCTCTGTGGCCAGGCAAACCTTGAATTCTGGTTTGTCCAGCCTCCCAAATGCTAGGATTACAGGTATGCCTGTAGCCTTTTTTTTCCTGACAGGACTCCTTTGTCATGTTTCAACTATAAAATAGGAAAATATATGGGTCCTGGAAGCCTGGGTTTTTCTCCTTAAGATCTAGAAGGTGTCATATAAATCTTAGGCAAAAGAATTCATGGAAAGGCAGAATTAATCTGCTGAGAAATAGAAAGGGCTGAGGCCAGACTAACAAAAGGGGGTTTTTAGACTGCTCCTTCTGAAAGCATCTGTTTTTGTTGTTTTTCTTCCACTAGGATGCACAGCGTGGAGGGACTCTCAGTGACCTGGGAAAGCAAGGTGAGAGACTAGAAACCCAGGCTGCTCAAACCTCTCCCTGGGATTAGTCATGGCCTTCCTTCCAACTGCACTGTTATGGAATCAAGGCTAAGATGTTCAAACTTGATCTCTGAAGCGAACCAGTAGAAGTGGGAGGCAGCTATGAGGTAATAGGACCTCCCTGAAAATGTTGACCTAAATGTTTCTTCTCTGAACTGCTTTCCAAAGTGAGGTCAGTGAAGGCTTTGGTCATCACCGTCTTCAACTTCGTTGTCACAGTGGCAGCTGCCTTTGTCTGCACTTACCTAGGAAGCCAGTATATCTTCACGGAAATGGCCTCAGTGAGTAGGCGCCAGCAGGACAAAGTGCCCTTGGGAAAGGGAGGATGTGTGTGAAAGTGCGCAGGTTAATTAGTGGGATGTATTTATGCAATAAACAGGGGACACATTTAGCTTCCCAAATAGTCATGGGAGGGGGTAGTGATTCCAAGAGCCACCTTTCCCCAATAACTGAGGGCAATAGTTCTCCACCTTCCTAATTCTGTGACAGTTCCTCATGTTGTGGTGACCCCCAACCATAAAATCATTTTTGATGCTACTTCATAACTATAATTTTGCTACTGTTACGAATTATAATATAAATGTCTGATATGCAGGATATCTGATATGCGCCCCCCTGTGAAATGGTTGTTGACCCACAAAGGTTGTGACCCACAGGTTGAGAACCACTGACTTAGAGACTTGGGTAGGGAGATCCCCATCATCATTAGAGGTGTTGGCCTGCATCCCTCACACCTAGCTCTCCCCACCTGCAGAGAGTGCTGGCTGCATTGATCGTCGCCTCCGTGGTAGGTCTGGCAGAGCTGTACGTCATGGTGAGGGCCATGGAAGGTGAACTGGGCGAGCTGTAACTGGTGCTTCAAAGTCTGGAAGAAGTTTGGAGAGCCTCCATTGCCCATCACTGACTCTCAGTCAACCCATGATGTTCTTTGTACTCAGCTTTGTGCTTAGTCAGAGGACCAGGCCAAGTTCTTAATCAGCTGTGAGTTTCCTTGGGGAGGAGTGGAGGAGATTGGGACAGCGTGTTTCTTTAAAACTGAAGGAGCTGCTCTAAGTAACTTCTGAACCCGTGCCCACCTGCTCTCACCGTCCATTCCGCGCTCTGCTGAGTCCTGTTTTCTCATCAGAAAGTAGAATCCAGGCCTTTCCCCGAAATGGGCCATACTGCCTTGAACTAGCCCAAGTGCATAAATCAGTCACTGTCCTTCATCCACACATCTTGGCACAAGACCTGAAACTGAGAACAGAAGACTAAGGAAGCAGAAGGCATGAGCCTGAGAAGAGCCAGTCAGAAGGCAGGCATCAGTAAGAAAAAGCAGTTGATACAGGGTAGTGGAACTAGAAGCCGGTCAGCTAAGGTTTTCTAGAAAAGGAAATGGTATCAGGCCATTTTCCCAAAGTCAGAAAAGGTTGAGAGAATCAGATGGCCCTCCTCTGTCAAATGGAGGCGAAGTTGTTCTGTTGTCTTTGTAATGTTACACTTTGCAGAACTTAGATAAGTTAGATTATCTGTTTAAGATACTTGAAAGATGTTTTGTATCCAATAAATATTTATTGTGTCCAGTGTATTTTTATCTCAGATCCTGTAAGAACACAAAGCACAAAAGCCTCCATAACCCTGAGAATTGCTTTTGACAGGGTCTTGTTATCAGCTCTGGCTGATCTCTGCCTCCGCCTCCTGAGTCCTACGATTCAGGCATATGCCACCATGGCTGGTCTGGTCCTCAAGGTCTGTTTGGCCTGCCAGCTTGCTTGCCTTCCTTCTTTTCGCATGTATATCTGACTATATGTATGTGCACCATATGTATACAGGAGTCTGAGGAGGAACTAGAGTTAAGCTATTGTATGTGCTGGGAACTGAACGTATGTTCTCTTTGAGTTATGAATGGTCTTAACCACTGAGCCATCAGCCCCTCAAGGTCTTTGTTTGTTTGTTTTTGTGGTTTTTCAAGGCAGGGCTTCTCTGTGTAGCCTTGGCTGCCCTGGACTCACTTTGTAGGGCCTTGAACTCACAGCCGTCTGCCTGCCTCTGCCTTCCTGAGTACTGGGATTAAAGCTGTGTGCCACCACATCCGGCTTCTCTGTTCTTAACCAGAGACTCTTTCTTAGATGTGCTCCCCTACTGTTTCCTCTCTTCATTTTTTAGATTTTATCCCTTGTCTGAATCTGTGAGCACAGGTACACATGTGCCAGAGTTTTCGTGTGGAGTTCAGAGGACAACTTGCAAGAGTCCATTTTGTCTTTCACGCTGTTGAGGCAGCTCTCGGTTCTGCTGTTGCACTGCTTGCTCCAGGCTCCCTTTTTTGTCTGCTTCCTAGAAGTGCTGGAACTGTAGATATGCACCATCATACTCAACTCCGTGCATTCTGTTATCCAGCCTGCACAGAAGATGCTTTTACCTGTGAGCCCTCTCTCTGGACCATCTGTTTTCCCAGCTTGTCTCATATACTCTTACTGGATCAGTAGGCATCAGCTGTGCTTACCAGTTCTTGTTAGTAGGGAGAAGTGTCAAGTGTAGGAAATGTTGGGTCGGAAAGCCTGGCTTTAAGCCTTGTTGGGGGATTTGTGGCCCATTTCCCTGTTCCCTGTATGCCAGGCTGCCAACATATCCTTAAATACCAGAAGTTAGGTTGAAAGCCTTCAAATGTAGAGGTTTGACTTCATCAGAATTTCTTCCAACAGACTTTGACCAGCCTAGGGCATCCTACATTAAACTTGGAGTCTTTGTTGGGAGGGATTGTCCACTAGATTCCAGTCCCTCCACACAGGCCAACAAGCTTGTGGGGCATCAAGCTCTTACTAATAGTAGTCTTGTGGGCCAGGCACTGTGTTAGCATCTGGAGATAGTAAAGAGACCTAGCTCATGCCTTGTGTAATTATAAAGGAGCCACACTGCAAGGACCTCTCCATTTGCGCAGGCAGAGCAGAGAGCGCGCTGGGAATTACGTAGCCAGTCCACAGCACAGGAAAGGGAATTCTCTCAGCCACTTGTGTCTCTGCCCTACTTTAGCCAAAGCACTGCATCCAAGAGGTGCTTGGCAGGTGGTCAGAGGGACAGGAAGTTTGGGCCTTGCCAGTTTCTTACGACTTCCTGTATGGGACAGACGGAACTAGCATTTACTGAGTTTTTAACCTTATGTCATCCCATAAAGTTCTTAACATTTTTTTTCGAGACAGGAAGTAAGTGTTCCCATCCCTGCTTGGCAGATGGAATTTCAGAGTCCTAGTTACATAAACAGAGGTAGGGTCGAATCCAGCATGGTCTGGATCACATACCGTCTCCATGCTTTTCTCTCCAAAGCAAGGCAACTCCAGAGGTAGGGCCAACTAGAACCCCCTGGAGTGCAAGCAAGCTCCTGTGTCCCCAGAGCCTATGAGAGCTGTGAGCCCTTTAATTAAGCACCCTCTGATCCCAGCAGAAGCCTGCACGTGGTTCCTGCCTGGAGTCTGTGGCACCCGGCCCTGTTTAGGGGTTTGGTGATGGGAGGGAGATAAACTTCCCAGGCAGGCAGGCTGCATCCCCATTTATTTGCTCACAACAATCCAGATGAAAGAGTTTTGTTTTATTTGGAGATTAGTTGGTATTACGCATGACAATGATATCAAAACCCAAGGCTACCACACCCCCACCCCAAATCTGTCAGGTTGTCCCCCAGCTTATATCAGAGGGCAGCCAATCTGATCTTTGGGGAAATTCAGTCAACCTAAGACGCGGGCTTCTATTTCTGAAACGTTAATATCACTCTTCAAATCCACATTTCTGATTAATTTGTCTAGGTGGCAGGAAGTCAGGCAGTGGGTCCCTAAACCACAAAAGGGTGGGTCTCCCAGCAGTCCAGTTTAGAAGCCATTCCCTTCTGGCACATAGGTGAGGTCCTCAAGGGCCCTCTTAGATAATAGGAGTTGGGAACCCAAGCCTGGCCCTTGGGTGGAAAACATGGTTCCTTACCTTAACTACCTCCTGATGAGAATATGCCCCCAAAAGGACGGGGGTGCCAGGTTATAGGAGCGAGGCTCCAGTCACTACACAGGATCTTCAGCTAGGCTGGTGGAGGCTGGGCATGGGGTTTCTGAGCTAAACTCTTTAAAGAGCACTCCCTGTGCAGAGAGAGGCAGGGGTCCCCTCCTTGCCGCCTCCTGAGAGATGGAGTGGGATACAAGCCAAAGCCAAAAGTCTTACAAGCACTATACCTTAATCAGGAGTGATCTCATTGGTGATGATGGCTGAGGTATAGATAAGGTCAGACAGGCTTCCCAGTGAAGTCTGAGGAGCAGTTTGCTCTAAAGAAAGGTGAAGCCCAGAAGCTGCACTTGGCCCCCATGGGGCTGTAGCTTTAGCCCCTGTCCAGCTCTGCCCCAGTCTCAAGCTGGGGGCTACACAGGAGATCTGTGGGCATGCTGGGCTGAGCTGGTGGGGTGTAGAGGCTGGCCTGGTGTTCCAGATCTCAAGGCTGCTGGGGAGTGTCTGGAAGAGAACAGGAGTTTGGGGAAAACTCCAGCCTGAGGTCCAGGGCTCCTCACTTTCTGGTCCTGATTCTCTTGGCTCCGTGCTTCTGGAACCACACCTGATAGGGAAGATGAAGGGATCTAGGGATCTGGGACAGAAAACAGAGCTCAGGATTGCCAGAGAGAAGAGGCTGTGTGCCAAGCCCAGAAATTGGTTATCATGGCTCACTTGGATCTTGGCTTCAAGCAGGTGAGTTACTTGAGCCAGGTGCTCATGGGCGCTGATGTCGGGATAGAGCCTAGCTGCAAATACCCGTTCCAGCTCCAGCAACTGGCCAACACTGAAGGTGAGCCTCTTTCTCCGATGGGGACCCAACCCACTGGTACAGGCTGTTGGCCAGGATGGGAATCAAAGCAGGACCCCTGGCAAGAACCTCCACCCAGCCAAGATTGGGGTTGATAGAGGTCTGGGTTGGGCCAGATTGATGAACACCTCAGCTTGACCAAGAAGCTGATCACACCTCCCTCCTTAAAGCTCAGCCTCTAGCAGCCTCTGCTTTCAATCCTGTGCTGTGTGAAATCCCTCCCTCAAACCACAGAAATCCACTTTCCCAGAGCTCCCAGGGCTTCATCTGCCCCCATAACCCCTGCCTCCTCCCCTCCCCCAACCCCCGTGCCTGGTCTTGGCTTCCTTCAGGGGGAAGAAAATGGATTTGTGCCTTGCCCTCTGCGGACTGGGCAGTGAACTGTCTAGGATGAGGGTGCTGTGGCGGAGCCGCCCCCTGTCAGCAGGGCTGAGGAACAGATGCCGCCACCAGCTTGCACTCAGGGCGGCTATAGAACTCGTTCTGGCTCCTCAAAAGGCCAGGCAGGCTTCCTGAAACCCAGGATCTTAGAGCCACAAAGACATTCACTTCTATAGCATTCCCTTCCTTGAGGGTCCTCCGAGCCACTTTACTGTGGGGAAGGAGATGAAGGTCCATGTTCTTCCTGTTCTCGCCCTCCCCTCCCCCTCTCCACCTAAGCCCGGGACAGAGGCCTCAGAGAAAAGACCCCACTAGGGTGTGTGTTGTGAGAGTCTGTCCCTCTGTTGTTCCGGAGTTAACCGTATTCTAGATTAACGGTGGACGGCAAAGCTGAGTTGACTTCTGCTCCTCGTGTCCTCCGAGGCCCTGGTCTAACTCCGTGGTCAAAGAAGCCTCACCTGGAGGGGGTGGCTGGGTAACTGGGGGACACACCGTAGAAGGAAGGGTAGCCTCACAAGCCCCTGGCGTTCCGGTTTAGGAAGAGGCCCTGAGCCCAGTGAGTCTTCCCCGTCCCTCCTCAGTGAGTCCTGGGAGCCCCACTTGCCCTCCTTCATCCAGGCGACAGGCCTAAACACCCCATTCAGGACAGTAGCCTGAAACTCCGGGCCAACAGGCTTTATTGGGCTGGGAGGAAGGGCTGGAGGCCAGGGTTCCGGAGGCTCTGCTGTGTGGGCCTACTTCTGAGGGGCCGGGCAGCCCAGCCAGTACTGAGCGATGGAGCGCGGGTACGGAGGGTGCACGGAGTCCACCGTCCGCGTCCTGAGGTTGACTCGGTAGTACTTGTCTGAAAGAGAATGAAAAGAAGGTGTGTGAGACTCTGCCTGGGCCTGTCCACTGGTCCCCAGAGGGAAACAAGGGTTCCTCTCGGAAGAGAACTGAACGTCCACCATGCAGGTACGGGCTGCGCACAGTACCCGGGTACCCGGGCCTGCGGGAAAGGCACAAGCAAACCAGCTTAAAGGGTAGCAGGCCCCCACCTCCGGAGAAGAAATAGACGCTCTGAATGGGCTCGCAGGTGGCAGGCACGAGCCAGTTGATATCATAATCGTAGTTGTAGGTTCCCAGCCCGCTCTCCTCACTGGAGAACAAAGACAACCAGAGTGAACGCGAACGACGTCGGGAGTTTGGGGTCTGGCTTCGGCTGCGCCAATGCCCACTGCGTGAACGGTAACGTTTTCGGCTTCCACGCCTACGCTTCGGCTTTTTGGGCTGGACGGGGGGGGATGTGGAGCCTGAGATATAGATGCGGCCAGCCATAGCAGCGTCCACTTTCCCTGGCACACCGTGCCAGTCCCGGCTGATGAACTGGGGTTCTCTGACGCCATCTGTAGCAGGGAAGGGGAAGCACTTTAAGGATTCAGGCTTGGATTTCTCCAGCAGGACATTAATCTGTCTGTCTATCTATCTATCTATCTATCTATCTATCTATCTATCTATCTATCTATCTACCTATCTACCTACCTACCTATCTACCTGTCTATCTTTTCTTTGAAACAGGGTCTCTATATGTACACATGGCTGGCCTGGAACTCACTATGAAGACCAGGCTGCCCTCTTAATTTACAGAGATCTGTTTGTCTCTGCCTCAGAGTGCTGGGATTAAAAGCCTTGCCACCACAGCTCCAGTAGGACCTTTAGAGCTCATTTGCTGTGTCTTGCCTAAGACACAAAACTCAGTACCCAGCCCCCAGCCCTCAGACTCCCTGCCCAATGCTTTTTCCTGTGTCCTCTTTCCGCTATATTCCTGGTATCCCTGCCCCCTTTTGAACCCCTCAGCCACAGCCTCTCCTGTTAGGCAAAGTCCAAGGTATGGGGTCCAAATGGAGCCCCATACCCCACCCCCAAAGCCAACAGAAGCAAAGTCTAGCCAGAGCAAACAGCTCTTGATTGATGGTGCCACAGTTCCAGTCCCTCCCCTTGGAGCCCCTACTACCAGCCCCACCCCATTCAAACCCACTTTCCAGAGAAAGAAGCCAGACTTGCCCTCCCTCCATACCAGAGCCTCTGCCCCAGAAGAGGAGCTCAAAGATGTTCTCCCAGCTGTCCCGCTGAAGGAAAGCAAAGTGTTCGAACACGGCCGATGGGGAACTTCCTTCACATTCCTCCTGGCTGGGCTGCTGCTGGAATTCATACTCCCAGTACTGCTTCCCTGAGGGGCAGAACAGCTAGCATCAGGAGGGTGGATCTGACCGAGGCTGGGGGGCCCCAAGGCAGAGAGGAAGCAGAGGAGAAAACAGGGACTCTGCCACCTGCCCCTTCTCCTCCCACCCTGAGTACCCTTGAAGAAGTAGGCCCTTTCCCGGCCATTGTAACGGTGGGCAGGAAGGGCTAGAGCAGCATCGACATTGTCTGGGATGCCACTGAAGCCTTCAGAGATGTTTCGGGGAAAATCAGGGTCCAGGATGCCATCCTCAAAGCGCCAGTACTGACTACCCTGAGGGACAGAGATGAAGAGGTGAGGACATAACACTAGGCACAGAGGTAGTCCTATGTCCTACGTCACCAGCTCCTGGAACCCCTGACTGCCTTGTTCCCACAGCTCCCCACACCTTCCGTGCTACCCTTTACCCTGACTCACAGACTTAGGTCTGGTACCTTGAAAAGGTAGGTCTTCCCCTGACAGTTGATTCGAGTGAAGGCAGCATCAATGGGGCCCTCGATGCCCCAGACATCTTGGATGAGTTTGGGGTACCCAGGCCTCACTGCTGTTTCATCTAGCTCATAGAAGTACTTCCCTAGAACAGGGGATGCCGTGTGAGAAGCAGATAGTCCTGGGGCAGACTCCCCCACCCACACCAGACCTGTCCATAGAGTCACCTCGGAAGGCAAAGAGGGAGCCGTTCTTGAGGTCCGTGAAGGCATCAAAGGGCTTCCCACTACACAGCTCTTCCTCTAGAAGCTCGGGGGTCCCTTGCTCAGTGGTGCCAGGCACCTCCTGGTGCCCCACTTCGGGCCCCCCGGTGCTTGCCCCAAGTGTAGAAGCCTGTTCCTTCAGAGGTGTTGTCTCTGAAGTCCCTTCAGTTTGGAGCTGCTGGTGAGGATTTAGAGAGGTGGTTGTGGTCTCCGGTTGGACGGGGGTGCTGGTATCATTCTTGGTCTCCTCCAGATAGTCGTAGGTCCTGTACTCATCTTCCGGCATAGTAAACACATCCCCCCGTGTCACTGCAGGCAGAGTGGGCAGTAGTGAGTTTCCGGCGGCTGAGGTGACCCCAGGCTCATCCGCCAGGGCTCTGGACTCACCTTGGGGCTTGCACTGCTCCATGTAGTCAGCACAGCAACTCTGATAGTAGGTGCAGAGCTCATCACACTGACACTTCTTGCTGGCCATGAAGCCCTGGGTGCAGCGGCCCTTGCATGACTCTAGGGGAGGGAATGTCAGTTTTTACAGCTCAGTCCAGGCCACCTGCCCACCCTGGATTGCCCTAGATGACCACCAATGCCCTCCCACACCTTGGTCAGCCAGAGAAACCCACGCCAGCAAGGCTAGTATGAGAAAGGGCTTCAGAGGTGCCATGGCAGGCCTCTAGCAGAGGGCCTTGGCACGCTGGGCTCAGCTCCTGGAGCCTCACTGTCCTGCCTGGGAAAAGAATCAGACTGAAGAGGAGTTCCTATTTTCCTTCGTTTCTGCCTTTATTTGCTCATCCTCTGGCCCTGCCCTATTCCCCTCCTCCAAACACAGCTGTAGCAAAGGGTCACATTCCCAGAACCCTGACCCTAGGAGAGCTGGGAAACAGAACTCTCGCCAAGACCGGAGTCAGTAGGGTCATGGGCAGGAGGGATAGCATGGTGAGTTGGGAAGGTAGAAAGAAAGCACGTGTTGTCAGCCTCTGTGCCAGTTATGTTAATCTCTCTGAGCCCTAACCTTTTATAAAATGGGACCATGGAGCCTTGCCTCCCCCGGTGTTGAGGGGTTACATGAGCTAGAACAGACCAAATGCTTGGTGCCTGGAATAGCTCCCAGCTCATTCCCATAAGCAGTTATTGATCTATTGTTTGATCAGGCACATCTCTGGCCAGATGTTTGTCCCATCTCCCTATTCCCAGGTGGCTGTTTCAGGCAGCGGAAAGAGGGGTGGGAGGAGACCTGGCAAGCACTCTGCAGGGGGGAACTTTTCTTCTCGTGAAGAAAAAAAGTTTCATGTCTGGCCTCTCCTTGTCCTCTCAAGCATGTCACAACACAGGCAGCAGTGGCTGCTAACGCTTTGGGCCAGGGTCCATTCCTTTTTGTAATTTTTAGTTTTGTTTATTTCATTTTGTGTGTATGAGTGTCTACCCATGTGTGTCTGTGCACCGCATGCATGCCTGTTGTCTGTAAAGGTCAGAAGAGGATTTCGGATAGCCCAGAACTGGACTTTTGAAGTTATCACCAGCCATGTGGGTGCCGAGAATCAAACCTGGGTCTTCTGCCAGAACAAGTTTTGTTTGTTTGTTTGGTTGGTTGGTTGGATGTTTTTGTTTTTTTTCTTGAGACAGGGTTTCTCTGTGTAGCCTTGGGTGTTGTGGACTGGCTTTATAAAACAGGCTGGCCTCAAACTCACAGAGTTCTGATCCCTAAGTGCTGGGATTACAGGCGTATGACACCACCCCTGGATAGAACAAGTGTTGTTAAAGGCTGAACCATCTCTCCAGTCCCATTACTGAGGCTTCCACTAACCTATTGATCCTCTGTGGCCCACCCTTGGCCCCACCTTCATAAAGAATGGACTCATTGGGCACTCACATAAGATGTGTGATCCCTCCATGAAGAAAATGCTCAGCAGGGCACGGTGGCGCACTCCCAGCACTCGAGGAGGCAGAGGCAGGTGGGTCTCTGTGAGTTCGAGGCCAACCTGGTCTACAAAGCGAGTCCAGGACAGCCACAGGTACACAGAGAAACCCTGTCTCAATAAAAAGGAATGGAAAAAGAAAATGCACATTGATACAGAACACCAGGTTTTGTGCCACATTTCAGGCCCTGGTATGTTTCTGAAACCCCCAAGTTTTCTGTTTTGTAATCACAGAGGAGTGTGCCTTTGGTGCCCCTTCTCTATGGGCCTCAGTAGCCTCAGCGACAAAATCCAACACTAAATCTTACACCTTACAGACATGCGAGGTACATTCAGCCAGCTTGCTTCCACATCATGGAGTGGGGAGGGGTGGCGGGCGGGCGGGCGAGCAAGCGGTGGGGAAGAGAGGACAGCTCTTCACAACCCTTTCCACTACATCTTGCATACCCCAAAGGGCAGAAGACCAGGAAAAGGAGGCGGGGCCGGGTGCGGGCGGGGCCGGAGGCGTGGGGTGGGGCTTGCGCCTGCGGCGGGGGCGGAGCCTGCGTGGCCTAGAGGTGGGGCATAAATCCTTGACTCCGCTACTCAGAGGCGTGGTTGCGGTTGAGCATCTCAGCTCCGCGGCGCTGGAGGCTGGAGCTGCGCTTTGTTCTGGGCACCCGCGTCTCTCCCTTCCCTCTCCTTGCATCCTCTTCCTCAGCCTCTGTGTCCCCGAGCCGCCCTCCTCCCTCCGCTTCTACACTTGTGGCCCAGAGCCCTTGCCAGGTCCTGATTTTTGCCTTTTCCTCCCCAGGCCAGGGTCGCTCCTCCAGGCCCCGCCCCTCCAGGCACGGCATGTCCCCCGCTGCCCAGCGCCCATGGTCCTGACGCTGCTCTTCTCCGCCTACAAACTGTGCCGCTTCTTCACCATGTCGGGCCCACGGCCGGGCGCCGATCGGCTGACGGTGCCGGGGCCGGATCGGAGTGGCAGCGCCAGCCCCTGGTGGGCTGCGGGCGGCCGCGGGTCCCGCGAGGTGTCGCCAGGGGGGACCGAGGTGCAAGGAGCCCTGGAGCGTTCGCTGCCGGAGCTGCAGCAGGCGCTGTCCCAGTTAAAGCAGGCGAGCGCGGCGCGGGCGGTGGGCGCGGGCCTCGCCGAGGTCTTCCAGCTGGTAGAGGAGGCCTGGCTGCTGCCCGCTGTGGGCCGCGAGGTGGCCCAGGGTCTGTGCGATGCGATACGCCTGGACGGGGGCCTGGACTTGCTGCTGCGGCTGCTGCAGGCGCCGGAGCTGGAGACCCGCGTGCAGGCCGCGCGCTTGCTGGAGCAGATCCTGGTGGCTGAGAACCGGTGAGGGAGAGCGCCGCGGGGTGTGGGGCATCGGGGCAGTGGAGGGGGTTGGGGATAGCATCCCATTGCTGATATCCCTCTAAACCCGTAGTTCTCCTCCGCATCTGGGTGCACATCTACCCTCTCACCAGGCCAGCCATGACCTCATTCTGCAGCTTCTGATCAGGAACAGAAAGTTTTGTTTTGTTTTGCTTTGGGGGGAGGGGCATGAAAGGGTTGGGGCAGAGGAAACTGAGGTACCTTCCCTCCCCCTGTGTGGGAGCAGGCTAAGCCTGGCTGCCTCTCCTTTGGCTACCTGGGACCTTCTCTGAACTATGAACAGTCCTCTAATCCTCCTCGCCGAAATCTCAGGTTCTCAGCTCAGAATTTTTGGAAGAGCGACTCCCAGCACGCAGCCCTCACAATTGTTATGAGAATGAGCCAGGGGTGTTCTCTTTAGAGTTTTCAATCACCTTTGATCCGTGGAAATAATGTAACTGTAAAAATGCACAAACAACAATTTGTGTTGGGAGACCCAATGCAAGGTAGGGGTTCAGCTTGCTTGATTTCTGTCATGTAACCTCCGGTGCCCTGATGGGGACGGGCCATGAGTATGGAGAAACTGGAAAATGGGCTGGGTGCTTGCCGGATGTGTTGGCGGCCAGTGTGGCTGGTGTGGGCGTGGTATGTGGGTCAGGAAACTAGAACTGGTGGTACCTGTGGAAAGTGTGTGCAGGAAGCATGATGCAAACGTACTGATATATTTTCAGAAATGAAAATGACTGTCCTCGCCTATGGAGAGCGCTGAGTAATCACTATCTAGTGTACAAGTCCCCAAACAGATGCAAAAGTCATTTCAGGACCAAGGACAGGGCACAAGTCCTGCTGCTCCTCATGCTCCTTCCCCAGAAGCCCAGGGGCTCCGCAATCTTTCAGCGGGAACAGGAATGGAAAGGAGAGAAAGGGAACACTCGGAGGATTTCTGCTTACGATTATTTTCCCTCCATCAGTCAGCGTCCTCACCGCTTCTTTTTGCTATTCCATCTGCTCTGGTCTTCCCCAGGGTGCTGTTGCAGCCGCTTCCCAGAATCCTAGATCGCTTTCTCTTACCCCTTGAACTATCAACAGTGTAGGGCTCTTCCTATCTGGTCCCATAATGTCCAGTGAGGGCAGCATCTAACTGACAGCCCTCTAAAATCACAGGACACCCCACCTTGCGGGGAAGCTAAGTGGCCTTCCACAGAATATGGAATGAATAATAGAGGGAAATGTTTTTAATATAAAGAAAGAAAACTATTGCACATAAATTCAGAAAATGGAAGAGTGTGCAAAAACTGCCCAATGTTAAAGGTTCTCAAAAGCCGGGTGGGTGTGTTGGGTAGCATATACCTGTATTCTCAGCACAGGTGGCATACACCTGTGAGGCAGAGGCAGGCGGATCTCTGTGAGGCCAGCCTGGTCTGCAAAGCGAGTCCAGGACAGCCAAGGCTGCCCAGAGAAACCCTGTCTCCAAAAGCAAAACAAAACAGTTCTCAACAAAAGCTCCTCCGTGGAGGAAAACCACTCAACAAGCTTTTTGTATATCCTCCCAGAGAGGATGGGACATACACAAGCATTTTCACACACACACACACACACACACACACACACACACACACACAATTGTCCTTTACTTGGGAACTGGGATTTGAAACTAGACCTGTGTACCTCCAAAAATTGTGGCCATTTTTATTCCATCAAACCCACAATATCAAACAACTGAATTGGGAAGTGAATTCAGTTTTCACAACCATCACACAGCTTTAACTTAGGGGCCCGATGAGGCTGAGAAAGCTTGTCATGTCACTGGGCCTTTGGCTAGTCCTCTGAGAATGTGTTAGATGCAGTGGCTTCTTCTTTTGTTTCATGTGTATGAATGTTTTTCCTGCATGCATATCTATGTAATCTGTGTGCCATTCCTCTCGGAGGTCAGAAGAGGATGTTGGATCCCATGGAACTGGAGCCACTGTGTGGGTTCTGGACATTGAAACTAGGTCCTTTGGAAGAACAGCCAATGCTCTTAACTGCTGAGCCATCTCCAGTCCTGAGATGATTTTTAAAAGCACATTCAGGCCCTGATAGGCTAGGAGTTTAGCTAATCCGAAGTCAAGATGAAGGATGTTGAACTCTGGAGACAAACACATCTCAGAAACTTTGTGACCTTGGGCCTGCCATGACCTCTCTCTGGCCTGAGCTTTCTGTGTTGGTAAAAGGAATGCCAGGTTCCAGAGTGAACACTTTGGACCCATTTGTTCCTTTGGAGGTGAGCTGTAGAGAGGCTGAGCTGGGAGGTCAGCAAAGCTTTGCTGAACTTATAGCATGGTCATGGCTTAGCCAGATTCTGCCTTTGTACACAAAATTCCAGGCACTGGGGTCATAGCAGCATCCATAGAGCAAGAACTCTGCCACCAGTTTAGTCTTTAGAAGTAACCTGACTAGGAGTTATCATTTGTAGAGGTAAGACAGGAAGTCTTCACCCCTGCCTGGCGTGTGGCAGCTTGCTTGCTACTCTGATGGTCTTCGTGATGGATCTGCCTTGGGCATGTTCTCCCTGCGGTGGCTGGTTTCTTAAAGCCTAAACCAGAACTGGAAACTCCCAAAGCTCTTCCATGTCTTCCTGATTGTCACAAAGATAAAGAACAGATGCCTTGAGGAAGCTGAAAAGATTCAGGTCAGCTGGGCATGGTGGTGTACACCTGTGATCCTAGCATTTAGGGAGGCAGATGGATCTCTGAGTTCGAGGCCAGCCTGGTCTACACAGCAAGTCTAGGATAGCCAAGGCTACATAGAGAAACCCTGTCTCAAAAAAAAACAAAAAAACAAAAAAACAACAACAACAAAAAAAAACAGACAGACAAAAAGACCGGCAAGACTGTTTTCCCCACTCTTTCTTTGGCCCCTCTGCTTTAGTGTGGTGGACGCCCCAGTGGTTCCAGCTCTCTAAAAGCTGCAAGCCTGTGCATGCCCCTGCAATTGCAACGCGAGATCCCCTTCTCCTGGCCGTGTCCCAGCCATCCTTCTGACCTAGTCCCTAAGCAACCGTTAAATAATTCCATATATCTGGTGAGCTCTTCTTCTCGTATGGTGCTGAGGGTTGGATTCAGGACCTTGCACAGTTAAACAAGCACATTGCCATTGAGCTGCATCTGCAGCCTGTCTATCATTTGTCTGTCTGTCTGTCTGTCTGTCTGTTTGAGACAGGGTCTCACTAAGTTGACTAAACTGGACTACAACTCACTATGTAGCCCTGGCCTTGAGCTTTCAATTCAATTCTCCACTTCTTTTGTTTGTTGGTTTGGTTGGTTGGTTTTAATTTTTTCGAGACAGGGATTCTCTGTGTAGACCAGGCTGGCCTCTAACTGAAGAGATCCACCTGCCTCTGCCTCCTTAGTGCTGGGATTAAAGGTGTGTGCCACCACTCCTGGCATAATTCTCAACTTCTTGAGTAGCTGAGATCAAGGATGTGTTAATGTGTAAACATGATAAAACCTTCAGACTTGTTTCGAGTGCAGATGTTTTTAATTTACATAAAACATGCTGTGTGGTATAGTACATTCTGATTCTTTTTCCAACTACATGTTAGGGTTATAAGGTCCTTCATGTTACATACTGGGTTCAAGGCCAGCTTGGTCTACCTAGTGAGTTCTAGGACAGTGAGAGCTACACAGGGAAACCCTGTCTGGAAACAAACAAACAAAAACAACAATTAAAAAAAAGAATCTTTTATGTTACAATGTTATAAATCTGCTCAATAATTCATTACAGTGAATGAGTACCTGTCCAGTTACCCTGGGATCCGATACTGATGGCTTCAACTTCCTTGTGTGACAAATAGCTCCTTGCCAAGCATCTTTGCACACGTGCCCTCAGTTGGACTCTTTTTAGGAGTGAGTGCCTGCTCCCCAGATTAACTGACAGGCAGTTAATCTAGCAGGCAGCCCTGTCATAGGGCCTCAGGACCTTCACAACCCTGCAGCCTGCTGTGTTGGCCCACCTGCTAGGCAAAGTTTATTTCTCTGACTGCCAGGACGTTGGGGTGCCTCTTTATGCTTGCTAATATTTTGTATTTCGTCCTTTATGTATTGTGTATGACTCATTTTGTTAGCTTGAGTATTTACTTCCATGCACTCTATGCCTAAGTAAACCCCTTCTTGATTTTCTCTTTTTCCTGGCTGATGTTAGATGCTGTGTTTATCTCTGGTCTTCATTTTCTTCCTCAAACATGCTAGCTCTTGTCCTGGCTGGTCTCCCTCTCTCATTAGGTTCTTCTCTTAACTATTTGCAAGCAGGTTTCTCACTGTTATTTCCCAAATAAAATCTCCTTAAATACATTTCCTCCTCTATGACATCATCCAGTTTGTTAGCATGGAGCTTTCCTACTGTGAACTTGAGCATTCATTGGTTACTACTTCTTCACTGGCCTTATTTGCTGGAGCTAAGTAAGATAACTGTCAGGCTTATTCAATGCCTAACATCAGCCTCTCTAGTACCAACTAGACCTACCACACAGTAGGTCCTCAAAAAGTATCGACTGAGTGAATGAATAAGCACACACCGGTCATGGAACATGAAGAGAGAAATGCCGTACTTCTATGATCCATCATAGAATTCCCATCTGCTGGGTTCTATGTGACAGCTCTGTGCCAAGCACTTTTTCAAATTGTCTTTTTAAGGACTAGTTTTCTTTTCTTTTCTTTTCTTTTCTTTTCTTTTCTTTTCTTTTCTTTTTCTTCTCTTCTCTTCTCTTCTCTTCTCTTCTCTTCTCTTCTCTTCTCTTCTCTTTTAAAACCCTTTTTAAACAGGGTTTCTCTATGTAACAGCCCTGATTATCCCGTAACTCTTTTTATAGACCAGGCTGGCCTCAAACTCACAGAGACCCATCTGCCTCTGCCTCTGCCTCCCGGGTGCTGGGATCACAGGCGTGCGCCACCACACCCGGCTTTATTTTACTTTTTTATCATGCATCTGTGGATGTCTGTGTGTGTGCAGGTGTGTCAGGTGCACGCCAAGACCAGAAGAGAGCAAAGGTTCCCCGGAACTGGAGTCACAGGCATCTGTGAGCCATTCCGCCTGATGTAGGTGCTGGGAACTTAGGTCTGGGCCTCTCTGGAAGAGCAGCTGCAAGCAGTCTGAATGGCTGAGCATCTCTCCAACCCCTTTATGGAATACCGTGTCAGTCGTGATCATAATTTTGTAAGACAGGCATTATTCTGCCGTTCATGAGATGAGGAAAGTGAAGTAGAGAAACGAGGTGCCCTATGTTTGCAATTAGGAAGCAGCAAAGAAGGACCCACAAGGGCCCATACAGTTGAAAGCATTCAGCCGAGCTTGGGGAGAAGGCCAAGGAGGAGGTAGGAGTTCCCTGATAACCAGAGACAGGGGTCAGGGTGGGAACAGAAAGAGTAATAATGCTGTCTTCAGTGTCTTCTACGACACTGGTGAGGCCTAGAGATCGGGCCTGGCCTCCGTGAGAAAGCCAAGCTCTCCAGAGACAGCAGCCACAGACTGTCCTTCTGTCGCTCGGCAGGGACCGCGTGGCGCGCATCGGCCTAGGCGTGATCTTGAACCTGGCGAAGGAGCGCGAGCCGGTGGAGCTGGCGCGGAGCGTGGCGGGCATCTTGGAGCACATGTTCAAGCATTCGGAGGAGACGTGCCAGCGGCTGGTGGCGGCCGGCGGCCTGGACGCGGTGCTGTACTGGTGCCGCCGCACAGACCCGGCGCTCCTGCGCCACTGCGCTCTGGCGCTGGCCAACTGCGCGCTGCACGGGGGCCAGACGGTGCAGCGGTGCATGGTGGAGAAGCGTGCTGCCGAGTGGCTCTTCCCGCTCGCCTTCTCCAAGGAGGACGAGCTGCTGCGGCTGCACGCCTGCCTGGCGGTGGCCGTGTTGGCTACCAACAAGGAGGTGGAGCGCGAGGTCGAGCACTCCGGCACTCTGGCGCTCGTGGAGCCGCTCGTGGCATCCCTGGATCCCGGTCGCTTCGCTCGCTGCCTCGTGGACGCCAGCGACACAAGCCAGGGTCGCGGCCCGGAGGACCTGCAGAGCCTGGTGCTGCTGCTCGATTCGTCGCGTTTGGAGGCTCAGTGCATAGGGGCTTTTTACCTGTGCGCCGAGGCTGCCATCAAGAGCCTACAGGGGAAGACCAAGGTACTGGTGTTAGGGGAGCGTGGCTCAAGGGTCAGGCTAGAAGAACTAAGGGTTTAGAATTCCCTAGACGTGGGAGCTGGGAGTGTGGGGCTGGGATCCGCTGCCACCTGGTGGCCACACTGAGAACTACAGACTTCATCCCGGGGGCCGACGGGCTTAGAAGAGGATGAGCTTCAGGAGGGATGGGGACGGGGGGGGGGGGGGGGGGCTTAGCGAGGAAGGCCGGGGCAGTTGGTGGGCCTTTCCTCGGTGAGAAGAGACAGGAGAGGGGAATGGGCAGGTCTGGGGGCAGCTGGGACCCGCAGGCACCCTCCTCCATCCTCCTTCCTAAAGGTGTTCAGCGACATCGGCGCCATCCAGAGCCTGAAGCGCCTGGTTTCTTACTCCACCAACGGCACCACGTCGGCGCTGGCGAAGCGCGCGCTGCGGCTGCTGGGCGAGGAGGTGCCGAGGCGCATCCTGCCCTGCGTGGCCAGCTGGAAGGAGGCCGAGGTCCAGACGTGGCTGCAGCAGATCGGCTTCTCCCAGTACTGCGAGAACTTCCGGGTAGAGGCGCGGGCAACCCCACCTCACCGAGGGTCGCGCGGGCCCTGGGGGTGGCCTGAGCACAGGCGTGCGGTGCTCTTCCGGCCTCACGCCGGCTAGGGGTGGGAAACTCGTGTTCAGCCACCCTCTCCCATCAGCATCCCCTGCCACCTCCTGTTCCTTCCCTTTGCGTCTTGTGTTGGGGGAGGGAGGTCTTCCTCACTCCCACCCTTCCCCCAGGAACAGCAGGTAGACGGTGACCTGCTTCTGCGACTCACAGAGGAGGAACTGCAGACAGACCTGGGCATGAAGTCAAGCATCACCCGCAAGAGGTAAAGAACCCGCAGCGGGTCCAGCCCCGCTGGGTCTAACCTAGCCTCCTGCCTCCGGCCCGCCCTGAGCATCGGAACTGCAACGTCTTCTACCCCCTGGGCAGGTTCTTTAGGGAGCTCACGGAGCTCAAGACCTTCGCCAGCTACGCCACCTGCGACCGCAGCAACCTCGCAGACTGGCTGGGCAGCCTGGACCCTCGCTTCCGCCAGTACACCTACGGGCTGGTCAGCTGTGGCCTGGACCGCTCCCTGCTGCACCGCGTGTCCGAGCAGCAGCTCCTGGAGGACTGCGGCATCCGCCTGGGGGTGCATCGCACGCGAATCCTCTCTGCAGCCAGAGGTAAGCGAGCGCATCCGGGAAGCCCACTCCAGCACCGATGTGAAACGGAGGGGCGGCCTGGGCTCTGAGGATGAACCCGCTTCCCTTTGTCCTTAAGGAGGCCTCCACCTTACTCCCAGAGTGGAGTAGGGAGATAGACGACCAGCAGGTGGCCGCAGCAGGAAGCGTTCCCAGGACGCTCCTGTGGAGCCCAGGGGAATCTCTGCCTGTCTTGGTCACCCAGGTTCAGACTCGGAGAGGAGGGGTTGTCCAGGTTTGGAGGGACACGCGGGTGGGGGCAGGGAGATAGCCAAGCAGGGTCAGCTTGAGCAAGTGTAAGAACAGGTCGGGCAGCACATGGGTGCCGCTGCCAGGGCATGGGTGGGGCTTATCCTAGTATCCGGCAGCTTGCAAAGTCTGGGCTCTGGCAGTTTGTCCCAGCAGAGCCCAGAGCATTAATGGCTACTTTCTTCTTACTGATTTATTTTCATAGAACAATTCACTCTTTGGCTAGCACTTTTGGGTCAGTAACTATATATCCCAGGTATTACGGTCAGTTTTTAAAAAAAGATTAATTTTTATTTTATGTGTATCAGTGTGTGTGTGTGTGTGTGTGTGTGTGTGTGTGTGTGTGTGTGTACCTCCAGTGCCCATAGAAACCAGAAGAGGGCACCAGAGCCCCTGGAACTGGAGTTACAAATGGTTGTGAGCCCGCATGCGGGTGTTGGGAGCTGGACCTGGGCCCTCTAGAAAAGCAGCCAGTGCTCTTAACTACTGCGTCATCATCTACCAGCCCTTGCAGTAAGTTTTTAAAACAAAATCTTGTAACTGAGTGTGGAGGTAGGTGCCTCAGCACTTGGGAGGTGGAGGCAGGAGGATCTGCTGAAGGTTCAAAACCAGCTTGGTCTACATGTGCAGTCCAGGTCCATCTTGTCTCAAAAAATTGAACAAAACAAACAAAGAGATAGCCCAGTTATTTCTATTACCATTCTGTGTAGTGGGAGTTCAGTGTTTTAAATCAACTTTTAAAACCTTTAGGAGAATAAAGAGAGGCTAGTGAGATAAATAATAAGGGCTAGTGAGATGTCTCAGTGGGTAAAAGCTCGTTGCCAAGCCTGACTTCAGATAAATCTCCATGACCCACGTGGTAGGAGAGAACACCCCCCCCAAGTTTCCCCCTGATCTCCACAGGCACCCTGAAAATATAAATGTAAGAAAACTTTTTTTTAAAGGAGAGGATTTCTAGGCTGTCCTAGAACTCCATTTGTTGACCAGGCTGGCCTTGAACACACGGAGATCTGCCTACCGCTGCCTCCTGAGTGCTGGGATCAAAGGCGGGCGCTGCCTGGCCAGAGACGTGAACTTGAAAAGCAAACACGGCAGTGTCCAGCTTGAGGGGTTTTATGAAAAGCGTACCCCATGTAAGCGAATGTTTCCATCAGAGGTTTTAATTTTAGAGATAATAAAATGAAAGTAAAAGAATTTGAATACATTTCCCAAGGTTCTAAAAGCTATTAAATGGCAACTGGGATTTGAGCCCTTTTTTTTTTTTTTCTGCATCATAAACAGACAAATGTGTGTGGGTGTTAATTATGAATATTATTAGATGAGCCCATTTTATGCATCCTCTAAGCAAGAACTTGCATGTCACTAGGGACTGTCTCTCCTGCCTTAAGAAAAGCAGGTCAGCTTCTACCCTTGAGCCCAGAGACAATCCAAGATTTCTTTTGTTGCTGTAGTTTGTTTGCTTTGTTTCTTTGTTTCCTTGTTTGTTTGTTTGTTTTTTTCTTTTTGAGATAGGATTTCTCTATGGAGCCTTGGAACAGGCTGACCTTGAACCTCAGAGACCCCTCTTCTTCTGCCTCCCAAGTGCCAGGAAGATTAAAGGCATGTGCCATTTCATCTAGCTCTTACTGCTTTCTTTCCTTCTTCTTCCTGGACTTTGTAGACCAGGCTGGCCTCAAACTCACAGAGATCCATCTGCTTCTACTTTCCTAGTGCCAGGGATCATAGGCATGGGCCACCAAACCCAGCCCTCTTTCCTTCCTTTTTTAAAAATAAGGTCCTAAGGCAAGAATAATTGCCACTCTGGGGAATAAAGAATCATGCAGTCTTCTCTTTTTTTGCTATAATTTAAAAAACTTTACTTTTAATTTTTGTTGTTGTTGTTTTGTTTTGTTTGAGACAGGGTTTCTCTGTGTAGTCTTGGTTGTCACTTTGTGGACCAGGCTGGCTTGGAACTCACAGAGATCCTCCTGCCTCAGCCTCCCCAAGTGCTGGGGTTATAGCACTCTGGGCAGGGGCAATCACACCCAGCTTTAATTTTTGGTTTTTTGAGATAAGTTTTCTCTGTTGTAGCCCAGGCTGTCCTGGAATTAGTTTGTACACCAGGCTGTCCTTGTACTCAGAGATCTGCCTGCCTCTGCCTTCCAAGTGCTGGACTTAAGGGTGTTGCTACCATGCCCTGTTGTTTTGGCTTGTTTTGTTGTTTTGCATGTTTGTATGTGGGTGCATTTGTGTTCACACACGTGGAGCCCAAAGATCAACGTTGGGGTGTCTTTTTCCTTTATTGCTCACCACTGGTTTTGTTTGTCTGTTTTTGAGTCAGGGTCTCACTGGCCTCAAACTCCCTAAACAGACCAAACTACAGAGATAGGGCTTGCCTCCCAGGACCGGGCTCAAAGGCCTGTGCCACCACAGCTTTATTATTATTATTATTATTATTATTATTATTATTATTATTATTATTGACAGGATCTCTTACTGAATTCAGACCTCACCAACTAGCTAAGCTAGCTGAAAACTGGCTCTGGGAATCCGCCTTTATCCACCATCTTCCCTTCCCCAGTGCCAGGTTCCAGGTGTGACCACCACGTACAGTTTACATTTTCATGTTTTATTCTCTGTGTGTGTGTGAGAGAGAGAGCATGTGTGTGTGTGTGTGTGTGTGTATTAGACAGGGTCTTGTGTAGTTCAGTCTGGTCTTAAACTTTCTCTATAGTTGAGACCATCCTTGAACTGTGACCTTTCTGCCTCCACCTCCCAAGTGCTGGGAAGCTAGGCCCATACTGCCAGTGCCCAAGTTTCAGTTTTTGCCCTTCACAGTGGTGTGAAGCGCACTTTCACCTTCATCACAGTTTTCCAAAAACTAGATTTTTGTCAGGTAGGCTTTGGAGTGGATGTTTTTGCTTAGCTGCAGGCCGGTGCAGCTGCTCTGGGCTCCTGTGAGGTAGGCTGGGTTAAGCTAAGATGTAAGTAGTTTAGAGTCATCGTGGGAGTCTCAGGACAGACACCACTGTAAACGGAGGAGCACCAGCATGGACTGACTGAAATGTTAGGCAGGAGTCCAGGCGGAAGCCTGGGTTCCCGGTGGAAATGAGGAAGAAGGGCCAAGGTGAAGGACTTGATGTAGGCCCAGTCTGGAGTACTTGTGGGTAACTGGCTAAGCCAGTCCACAGTTCGGAAGGACGGTAAAGCTAGAGAGTCATGTCAGTGTCTGCAAAGCTCAGATCCTTTCTGCCCAGGACTCACCAAGGTGAGGACTTCCTTTCCAATAGATTCCACCCTCTCCGTCGCAAGGGCCTTTTCTAAAGCAAGTCACTTGCCCAGACTAGCAAGAGGAACTTGAGCAGGCAGGGGACTAAGCCTCCAGGAGATGACGGACCTCATGATGAGTTGTGGGGAGGGGCCCCCGGGGCCCCCCTCACCTCCATGTCTCTTTCCTTGGCTTCAGAAACGCTCCACTCCCCGGTGCCCTGTACCAGTGGCAAGTCCAGCGGGGACACCCCAGATGTCTTCATCAGCTACCGGAGGAGCTCGGGTTCCCAGCTGGCCAGGTGAGGAGGACTGGGCAGGTGGCTGGGGTCTGGACCAGGCCACGGTGCTGACCCTGTCCCCTGCAGCCTCCTGAAGGTGCACCTGCAGCTGCATGGCTTCAGCGTCTTCATCGACGTGGAGAAGCTGGAAGCTGGCAAGTTCGAGGACAAGCTCATCCAGAGTGTCATGGCCGCTCGGAACTTTGTCCTGGTGCTCTCCGCCGGGGCGCTGGACAAGTGCATGCAGGACCATGAGTGCAAGGACTGGGTACACAAGGTGGGTGTACCGCCTGTGCCTCTGCGCTGAGACACTGCCTGGGGTGGGAGGGACGAGGCTCCTCCCTTACTCCTTGCTTTCTGCACACCCCAGCCACATTGGACCCCAGATCATCTTCCTAGCCCAGCTAGGAGGCAGGAGCCACTGCTCAGTCTGGGGTTAGACTTTAGCAGCTGCTTCGGCCCCAACAGCCTCTGTTTACTCATCTACAAAGTAGGAAAACTTCACTATCCTATTCATGTGTAGGGCTGTACAGTGAGATCAGGGAGGGGTGAACATCCATGGGGAAAAAATAACATCTGTGAGCTGAAATGCAGAGGTGCGTTCTATAGTCCCAGCACTTGGGAGGCAGAGACAAGAAGACCGCCTCAAGTTCGAGACCAGCCAGATCTATGTATCAGTTCTGGACAAGCCAGGGCTACCTAGTAAGACTCTGTCTCAAATCCCAAGGAAAACCCCAAAACAAAACCAGAAACAAGCCTCTGTGCAGGGCAGGAGGGTCCAGCGACAGGCAGGACAGTCACAGGACAGGGAAGAACATGAAGCTGTTAAGTCACAGGACCCGACAGTCTAGTACAGTGGTTCTCAACCTGTGGGCCAAATGACCCTTTCACAGGGGTCGCCTGAGCCCGTCGGAAGGGGCACTTGCACTTACATACAAAGCATACAAGCACACATGCATGGCCTCACGTACTCACACAGGTATCCATATGCACACAGCATACACACAAATACACATAACTTAAAAAACCAAACCAAACCAAAACAAAACAAAAACAGGGCTGGGTGTGTTTAATCCCAGTACTTAAGAGAAAGAGGCAGGTGGATCTCTTTGAGTCTGAGGCCAGCCTGGTCTACACAGCAAGATCCAGGTCAACCAGGGCTATACAGACCCTGTATAATAAAATAAAATTAAAATTAAAAACTAAAAACAATACTGTGAACAAACGCTCACAGTGACTAATGTGACTAAACCAGGGCTGGGATGATCGGGGGAGGCTTCATGGAAGAGGCAGGACTTGAGAAATATCCTAAGAACGCTGGTGAGGGGGGTGGAGAGATGGCTGGGAGGTTAGAAGCACATGCTGCTCCTACAGAGGACCTGAGTTCAGTTCCAGCACTGGCATCAGGCAGCTCACAGCCTTTCACAGCTTCAGCTCTAGGGGGTCCAACACACTCGTCTGGCCTTTGAGGGGACATGCAAATACACACACACACACACACACACACACACACACACACACACACACAGTTAAAACAAAATACAGACTTTAGAAAAGGAGACTGTGAGAGAATAGAAGAGGCCGTGTTCCAGGCAGGGAACGTGAACGAAGGAGTCAAGTTGGGCACGCCCAGAGGTGTCATGTTGGTGGCTTGAAATCGCCTGTGGTGGGGGTATTCACACCAAAGAAATCGGCAGCCACTCCAAAGTGGAAGCTTTTATTTGTGTGGTGATTGGTTGGGTTTTCTGCCCCCCGTGGAGAGCCAATTATTACACATCTGCGAGGGTCCCACTTGCTACGTTGGAACTCTGAAGCCAGGTTGCAGAGGGTCCAAAGGAGGGAGTAAGAGGTTGAGGTGCTGGCTGCAAGCCTGACAACCCAAGTTCAAGTCCTGGATCCTACATGGTGGAAGGGGAGAACTGGCTCTCGTAAAGTTACCTTCAGACCTACACGCAAGTGTTGTTGCATGTGTGTGTATGCATAGACATATCACACACACACACACACACACACACACACACACACACACGAACGTTTCATAAAGGTGAAGGAAAACCTGCACACAAGGCTCTGAGGAAGCACAGAGTCCAAGCTAGGGGTAGCACATGACAAGACACCTGACACAGGCCACTGAAGGGAAACGGGTCATTTTAGTTTGCAGATGAGTACAGCGTTCCATCGAAGCGGTGGAGTCGTGCAGCAGGAGCCTGAGGAGGCCGTGACATTTCACCTGCCGTCGGGAAGCACAGCGCGATGAGTGATTCTGCTTCTTGGCCAGCGTCCCCTCTTGTGCAGTCCAGATTGACCCTCAGGGAATGGTGCCACCCACTTTTAGGGTGGCTCAGTTAGTCCAATCAATTGATCCCTCACAGGCATGGCTGGCTAACCTAATCTACACAGTCCCTCATCAATGTGCCCAGAGGCTTGTCTCTTAGGTAATTCTAGACACAGTCAAGTTGAAAATCAATTTTAGCCATCATACCCGGGGAGGTGGTTAGGGCAGTAAGTGTGAGGACAAGCGTGGGTGGCATCCCGATTGGCAATGGGGAAAAAGAGCTGAGCCCTGGAGGCCATGTGAAAGCACTGAATCCAGAGCCTGGTTTGTGGAGGAGACATGGGACCAGGAAGATGTCTCCCAGGAATGTGACTGAAGATGCTGAGAAGGTGACAGGCAGCATTCTGGGGGGATGGGGATTGTCTAGTGTCAGCTGAGCTACGACCTGCTATGTTTGTGCCATATCCCTGAAGCCTAAAACTGTGTAGAACAAAGAAGACTGTAAAAGAGCTTATGGGAAACTTGAATCAATGAGTAAACAGAGGATGTTGGCCTGGTAGCCAAGCCCTGTATCACTGAGCTACACATGACTTTATCCCTTTATCGGACAAGCTGGGCAGCAGCCAATTGCACTGTCTTTGGTTCTGTGTAACTCCAGGTAGAGCAAATATCTCAAAGTTCCCCCAGTAAGTGTCACTCAGGTGCTGTACAGAGGCAGCAGGGCTTGGATGTCACAGCCCAGCATGAACTTGGACTCTGAAGGCTTAACCTGAAGCTCTGCATGTTTGAGGGACTTGGGGAGAAGCACCTTCAGCTCTTTGGCATTCCTTCCAGTTATCTGTAAGATGACAAGGCTCCGGGAGACCAGTCTAGGTGAAAGCCACATACAGTCTTTTCCTAGGCTCCACCACCGAGCCTGGTGAGGAAGAGCTTCCGGGCAGGTGGTATGTATGTATGGCTTTCTCCTTGGATTTCGTCCCAGAGACTCTGTCATCTCTTTGGCTGTCTGCAGTGCCTAATTGTCTCTGGTTTTCATAATCCCTTCCCGGAAGCCACATTTAATGGCTAATCAATATACAAACCCACAAGTGAACTGCACTTAAAAAACAGTCCCATCCCTGAGGTTTTGCCTTTCAAAGGCAAAACTCATTCTGTAGCTGCTTGCCAGATCAACATTAACAGTGAATAGTGTCGCCAGAATAGCCCAGGGGCCTCTCTGCACTCTATGGAGAAGGAGCCCATTATCTCCCTTCTTTTTTGTTTTTATTTTTTCCCTTTTGGAGATAGGCTATAGCTCTGTATAGGGCAGGCTAGTCCCCAAATCACAACCCCCACCTTATTAGCCTTCTCTTGTGCGGGAACTCCGTCCTGAGCCACCACACCCCACTGAGCTGCTCCTTAAATACCCTCAGTTTTTAAGTGCTGAACCCTGCTCTCATCACTTGCTGTGGAATGTTCCCATTATTGTTCCACACAGCAATCCCGTAAGATCGTTAACTGTCATTAACCCTGTTCTGCAGATTAGAAAACAGACTTTGAAAGCCCATTAATTTTGCCTTAGGTCATAGAGCTAATATGTGGTGTCAGAGACTCCACTTGTCCCGTACTTTCTTCAAGTTTGTAAGCAAATCCTGGACACAAAGAAACTTGAGGGAGGAAAGGTTTCCTGTGGCTCATGGTGCCATCTCGGCAGGGGAATCCTGGGGGCAGGATCAGCTCCTGCCACTAGCAGGAGGGGGCTGCTAGTTCTTATCTCTGGATCAGGAAACAACATTCACAGTGGTCAGGAGGCAGAGTGGGGGAGGGGCAGGGTCTTGCTGTACCTCTCCAGGGATATCATCCCTCAATTAGTCCCCACTTCTCAAAATCTTCCCCACTTCCCAATAGCACCATCTACTGGAGGCTGGGCATCCAGGGCATAAACTTTTGCAGGGTTATTCAGGATCAAACCCAGTCTCTTTCTTCTTTCTCCAGGAGATTGTGACTGCTTTAAGCTGTGCCAAGAACATTGTCCCCATCATTGATGGCTTTGAGTGGCCGGAGCCTCAGTCACTGCCTGAGGACATGCAGGCTGTACTCACCTTCAATGGCATCAAGTAAGCGCCAGGCTCTAAGGAGAGTTAGAGAGAGAGATTTTGTGTGTGTGTGTGTGTGTGTGTGTGTGTGTGTGTGTGTGTGTGTGTGT